GATGCGATACTTTTCACCTTTTTAGGACTTATATATAATAAAAGCAAGTTGCTCTCTTCTTGTTTTTCCGTGTTCTCTAAACATCCCGCGTGATCTATTTCTTAAAATTATTTCGGATATTTATTATTTACTTCTCAATGATATAATATTTGGTATTCATTGCGTGAAAGCTACGTCATCGCCAGCGTGCCATGTTCATTCATCAAACATGGTGACAATATTTCTCAGGGAATTCTTGGTCAGTGGTTGCACACCAAGAACAGCACACGCTCTTGGATTTGGCCGAGATTCGTGTGTTATCAAAGTACATACACACGGATGGTGCCATTTAATCTTAGGCATATCTTACGTATGCACTGATTTGTCATGAGATTACGCGTACTCCGGGAAAAAAATTAGGAAAAAAACATATAAAACAAATGGATTCAATTTTCGCGCGCCTTCGTACTCGAATAGATAGTTACATATAAGACGTCAATACGCTTGACAGCATTATCTCAGGTTACACAGTATAATAGACAAATTTCATAGTCGAGTGAAAGCACTATTACTTCATGGTTGATGTTTTAGATTTTGATGACATTTTCTGCAGACATTTTCTACATACATTTTTCGAGGTACTGGACCCTGAGAATATATATATTTGTCCAAGCACCTCCAAACATTCCTTCTAATTCTAACCTAAAAAAAATGTCATCAAGTTCATCAAAACTACAATTATTCCACTATTAATATACTTTGCATTTCAATTTTTTTAACAAAATCTTCATCAAAACAAAGTGTATTGAATATAAAATGTGATTGGGCGACCTACAGGTATATGTATAGTTTAAAACATAAGCTAAAGCACATTTTGCCAAATTTCAAAGATACAATATTATTTTTAAGAAAACATCAAAGTTGACCTCATATGCAAATCAGTACAAATCTCTTGCTCATATATGCACGGCAATGATTTTCCATTATAGGCCTTAAGGCCCGTTTACACTTGCAATTTTTGCAGCGTGATTGTCGCGTTTAAAAAAAATCGCAAGTGTAAACGGCCCTTTACAGTATTAATTAAAATGAAATAACTTACCAGTCGGAGTTGTTTGATGTGCTAAATCCATAAATGTACGTGACTTCTCTGTAAATAAAMCAAAGTTAACATCCAAGTGAACATATAATTACCGATCCACAGTTTTAGATCTTCCCTATAGCCTTCACGGCCGACTCCTTTTCAAGATGGCGGAATCAAGACCTTGCCATGTGCTAGGGTCCAATTGATGAAAATCGTCAGGGTATTTTTAGGTTTCTATTTATTATCAATTCAAAATGACGACGGTGTTAAAAGTCAACTTTCCAAAAAAATATGCCTAATTCTGAAGAGGGTCGAAGTTTTTAATTAAGTCAGTTTTTAATCAAGTCCATGCATGGGGATCATTATACATATATGTCTCTGATACTAATGCAAATAATGTTTAAAGAAACTCACGTGGTGGCTTAGTGACTCCTCCTACATCTAAAATCAAAACAATAATTAAAAAATTACTCACAAAATTCAAAATCGCTACTTTCGGGAATACATATCTTTTTC